TCTAGGGTTTATCCTAGTAACAGCTAATTCTCTACTGTCCCTATTGCTTATTAATTCTTCAAAATGTGAGGCCATTTGTTGTTGTCTGTTTTTGAACAAATACATTATTTTGTAAATGAGACCACATGGGCATCTCAGGTTTCTTTTTTAGAATGCATTTTTATTATTTCTTATTTTACATGTGAGTGCTTTGCTTGATTGTATGTAAGTGCACCCATGCCGTGCAATGCCCACTGGAGACCAGAAGAGTGTGTCAGATTCCCTGAAGCTGGAGTTATGGATGGTTGCTAGCCACCATGTGGGTGCTGGAAACCTAACCTCTGCAAGAGCAGCCAGTGCTCTTAACCACTGAGCCATCCCTCCAGTTCCCATTACAAAAAAAAGAAAAAAGAAAAAAAAGATTTTAGTTTTATTTTATGCATTTTCCCGTATGTATGTATGTACGTATGTATGTATGTATGTATGTATGTATGTATGTATACCATATACACACCTGGTGCCCTCAGAGGCCAGAAGAGGGCATTGGGTCCCCTAGAATTGGAGTTACAGGTGGCTGTGGGCCTCCATGTGGGTACTGAGAACCAAATGAGAGTCCTCTGAAAGAGCAGCAAGTGCTCTTAACTCCTGAGCCATCTCTCCAGTCAGCCCTCAGGTTTCACTCTTACCTCTCATAAAGAAGCTGTTGAAAGGGGGTCGTCTCTCTTGCCACACAACACAAGGGCTCAGGCATGGTATTCGTTTGATCATCTCCTGAGTTTACTGCACAGGGAATACACCTGATGATCCTAGAAATAAAGCCTGCAGGATAATTACTACCCAGAACCTCTGGTGAGAGGCCCCAGGAGCACTGAACAGCCGCCGCTGTTAAGCACATACATACACTCATGGTTTTTCAAGCTGAAATTATATTTAAACTAATTTGCACTGCAGTTCATGTCTCAGAAATTACTTCACAGCTTCAGAAATCTCCTATGAATATATATATATATGTCTTTTTGTGACAGGGTCTCCCTATAGCTCCAGCTGCCTATGTAGACCAGGCTGGCCTTGAACTCACAGAAATCCGCCTGCCTCTGCCTCCCGAGTGCTGGGATTAAAGTCGTGCGTGATCACACCCGGCTAATTTCTTTCTTTTTTTTATTTATTTAATAACCATATAATTAGAAGAAGCATTTCATTACAACAGCATTGACATATTCAATAACAAATTTCCACAGCTAAGATGCATCTCTTTCAAAATTGGCTGTAAATTTTTAGGTTTATAGTTGAATTAATACAGTTATACAGTATTGTACTCTGTATAAACCCTATAAGACATAAAATTAAATGAGGTTTTAAACTTTAAAAAAGATCTCCATTTCATTATTAAAAGTTTCATACAGAAAAATTCATTTTTAATACAAGTGACACTAAGATGCACATGTGTTTCTAATCTCTTTATATCTGATTATTACTAGTCACAGTCAGTTACTTTCTGAGCTCCTTGGCATCTGAGCATGGATATAAAGTCATCGGGTAGATTTCAATGGTAATGCTTTTCACATCTACTAATTATTATTATTTTTTAAATTATTTGTTTCATAACCAGATGATTAGAAGAGGCATTTCATTACAACAGCATTGACATATTCAATAACAATTTC